GCCCACGCCCCTACATTAAGTGAAATAAATCAAACACATAATCTTAAGCTTTGCATGGTTTCTCTCATATAAGAAACCCACATTATAAATAAAAGGCAAATAAAAGACAACAGGAAGGAGGGAGATAGAGCTTTTGCTCATGGGAAAAGGGACCAAGAAATGGGGGGAAGGGGATGAATAAAGGGAATTTAGATATGTTATACATGTACTGGCTCCCCACCCCACAAGCAATGTGATCATTATGCACTACAAGCATGTAGTAATAAAAATAAAATTTGAAAAAGAAAAAAATTGAAAACCTCAATATTGACTAGAGAAATAGTGGTAAATACCAGGGATCAATGAAACTATTCAGATCTGTTCTCACTGCCAAGCAGAGAGCAGTCTACTCCTTTTCATTTATAAGCTTTCTGTATTGATTTTTAAAAATAAATATGTGTAACTATTTTCATTTAAAAACTAATGCTTATTATTTAAATAGGGATGCTTAAAATACAAGTCATTTGAATTTTGACCATAGGCTGTGAGCTATGAACTAGACCCAGAGGAGCACCACCAACTTTCAGAAGGTACCTCAGGGAATTCTCATCAACCCCCAGAAAAAAGTGAAGGTAAGAGGACTCATTTCCTCACTACCTAAAGATCCTTATGAAAAGTTGTGAGTCTCCAAACTAGATTAAAATCCTAGTTATAGGAAGGGTAGGGGAAAGGAAATAAGGGAAAAGAAAAAAATATGAGAAGTGGAAAAAATGGGAACAAAATCGTTGTAAATAGGGGAGGGTGGAGGGGGTGAAGGGAGGGCAGGGGTATGGGGAAAAAAATGAGAACCAAGACCTGTCACGTAAAGGTACAAGATCCCAAAGATGAATATAACTGTACTGTATACCTAAAAGTACCAATAAACTCAATGAAAAAATCCTAGCTATGAATAAAAATTGTCAGTTTTTCAAATGAACCTGAGAAAATGATGCATAGAATGCAGAAATGCCAAAGGTGCTATGATAATCCCAAAGTAACACAAAACATTACTACTGTAATTCTACAACACACTCCATAAAACACTCAGAACAATTCATTCAAAGAAAGGGAAGTGACATCCTAGAACATATTTTGTATACTTGTCCTGAAAGATTCTAAAACTTCATCAGCAATGAGTAGTTAACAAACAATGGATTTAAAGGTCTTATTTTAATTTTACTCTGGATTAAATTGCTTTACACAGTTTTAAATTGTGTCACCAGAGTCATGAAAACAAAGAACTAGTAAGCTAGGAACTTGAAAGCAGTTGTTAATATAATAATCAGAGGCATGCTTGCTTCGGAAGAACGTATACCAGAATCATCACAGGATTGACTAAGTTGAGGTTTAAAAACATTCTCTGCAGACACTATAAAAAACTATGCTTTTTCTGCTAATCTGATTCTCTTGTTCCTTTGATAACTCTAATTCTTCAGGGAAAATAGTCAATATTAAATGCCAATAAATATACTGTTTGGGTACAGAATTTCTTTTTCTTTTTTAGATTGAACTCGGTTCCTTGTGCTTACAGGGCAGGTGCTTGAACCACTGAGCGAAATCCCCGGCCTGGGAAAAGAATTTCTATAGAAAAAACTATCCTTATAAACAATCTTCATATTGGTCTTAAAAACCAATTTGGAGATCTTACTTGCAGCTCAATTTTGCTATCTCTATCTTGCCACTTTATTTACAGGTACATAACAAAGTGCAGTGGTAAAATGTTGGATGCTAACAGCTGATAAAACTAAAGGTTGAAAAATATCGCTTCCCATCATGCCACTATCCCATAAGGAAAGGGACATATGCACCTTGACCACTTGTTGTCCTTATTTATTTTCCCTTTCAGCTAGAAGATCAGAACTAGAATTTTGGCCATACATAATGATTACAGGGAATGTGTAGGTACAAATCTTATTTCATTTTTCCATCATTCTTTCCACTCTTCACCCTTCTTTCCCTCCCATTTATAAAAGCTTTGCTTCCATTTTTTTCTTCCAGTTTTCTTTATAAAATCCCTTTTCCCTTCTTTTCCCCTTTGTTCCACTTCCCATCTGAATATGTTCTTCCTACTTCCCAGTATCCTCCATTTTGTTTATTTTCAGTTTCTCACACAAGATAAACAATGATATCTAAACTTGTATCGGATTTATTTCACAAGGTACATCCATTTATCTAAAAATGTCTCTTTATCCTTTATGGCAGGGAAGTATTCCATAGTATGTAAAAATCACATTTTATTTATCCATTCATCTGTTGATGGGCACATGGTCTGTTTACGTGACTTAATTATAAATTGTGCTGCTATAAACATGGATACGCACATATCTCTGTGGTATGATGCTTTTAACTCTTTTGGGAAGATACTTAGAAGGGGAGTAAGTGGGACAAATGGAACCTCTAGTTTTATTTTTTTGAGGAAACTCCATGCTGCTTTTCATTGTGGTTGTACCAATTTATACTCCCACCAACAATGCAGAAGAGTGCCTTTTCCCAAAAGCCTCACCAGTATTTGTTATTGGTTTCTTTTTTTGTTTTGTTTTGTTTTTTTGAGTCAGGGTTTCACTATGTAGTTGAGACTGACCTGGAACTTACTACTGAGCCCAGGCTGGTCTCGAATTCACAGTGATCCTCCTGCCTCAGCCTGCCAAGTGCTGAGATTACAGGTGTGCATCACCATGCCCGTGTGTTACTGGTTTCTTGATGATAGCCATTCTGGAGTGAGATGGAATCTTAGTGCTGTTCTAATTTGCGTTTCATGAATGACCAGTGATGTTGACCACTTTTTCATGTTTGTTATTTGTACTTCTTCACCTGAGAAGTGTCTGCTCATTTTGAATGCTCATTTTTTAATTGGGTCTTTAAAAGTTTTTTGGGGGGGTTATTTTTGAGTTCTTTGTATCTAGGTATTAGTCCTTTGCTGGTAAAAATTTTTTTCCCATTCTGTGGGTTGTCTCTGTTGGTGGTTTCTTTTGCTGTGCCAAAGCTTTACGTAATCCCAGTTATTGTCATTATTTCCTGTGTGATGAAGGTTTTGTTCATAAAATCTTTCCCTATACCAATGTCTTCTACGTATTCCATCTTCCAGCAGATTGTTTTTATTTTAATATTGAAATCTTTGATCCATTGTGATTTGTTTAGTGCATGATGAAAGAAATAGGTCTAGATTTAATCTTCAGCATGTGAAAAGTCAGTTTTCCCAGCAGCATTTATAAAAAGAGGCTAACTTTCTTCCAGTGAAGGTTATTTGGCCTTATCAAAAATAAGATAGCTAGCTGGATGTGCTTGGAGTTGTTTCTGCATCTTCTACTCTGTTCCACTGATCTTTGAGTCTGTTTTTTTGCCAGTATCATGCTATTTGTTTTTTTTTTTTTTTCTTTTTCTTTTTATTGAGGTTATTGGTACAATCTAGGTATACAATACAATTACATTCATCATTGGGATTCTGTACCTTTACATAATAGGTCTTGATTCTCATTTTTCCCCTTGTCCCTGCCCTCCCTTCACCCCCTCCTCCCCTCTCCATTTACAAACACTTTATTTCCATTTTTTCAGTTTCTCATATTTTTTTCCTCTCCCTTATTACCTTTCCCCCACCCTTCCCACTTTCCTTACACCTTTAGCCCTTTACTTCCTATTTCATATTATTAATTGTCTCATTAGGATCCTGTGTACTATTATAGTTTTTCACACCAAAGAAACTATTCGGTATTTCAGTTAAAGAAATCTCTGTATGAACATTAAAAATAGGGAATCCTAAAATAAAACTAAAAAGGAAAGTAAAAGAGAAAAGGCAATGATGTAACATCAAAATAATCCTTAATTCTGGAGATGAAAATGGTCCCTGAACATATTTAAATTGCTTCTCGCTCTCAACTCACCAATCAAGAGAAACAGACTGGCAAAATGGAACAAGAAGCAAAATCCAACAATATGTTGCACACAAGAAACACACCCAGTGCAAAAAAGAAGCCCATAGACGGAAAGTGAAAAGATAGAAAACAATTCTACATGTGACAGGAGCCCAGAAAAAAACAGGGGCAGCAATCCCATTTGCAGACAAAGCAAATCTCAAACCAAAACTGAATCTAGTATTATTGATGTAGGACAGTACTGTATCATACCTCTATGAATGTAAAATATCTAGTACCTGCTTTATGATACATAGTAGGGACCATGCTTTATCAGAGCTACATTTAATGATATTACTCTAGAATGTTCTCTTTCCAGATGATGATTAAGAGGCTAATAGAAAAAATGGTGCCAGGTACCACAACAGCAACAGAACTTTGCTGTTGTCTGGATATTATTCTTTTCTTTGTTTTTTTTGCTTTTTTGGTTTTAATGGAATGTGCTGAATGTCCATAATTTTGTTCAGATGACTGATTTGTTTTGTTTTTTAAAGACAGAGTCTCACTATGTAGTTAAGACTGACCTGGAACTCACTATGTAGCCCAGGCTGGTTTGGAACTCACAGTGATCCTGCCTCAGCCTCCTGAGTGCTGGGATTACAAGCGTGCGCGACCACGCCCAGCAGTACCATGCTATTTTCATCACTATATAGCTAGGATTTTTCTATTCTAATCTGCCTAATAGACAATGAGTTGTGGTACACAGGGCCTACCCATCTATTATCAAGTCTTAAGGAACAGGCCTAGTTCCTGCAGTCTTAAATGCCCAAAGGCCTTCTGTTTAAGGTTAGCTGTTAACTGCTTTTCACATTTAATTGAACATAATTTTAACATTTCTATTTCAAAAATGAGAAAACAGCAATCATAATTAGGCCTAATACAAGTCAGCATTCTTCAAAGCCTTGGTTCTTATTGGGATTTTAACTTTGTAATTAAATTGTTGAGTAGGTGGGTGGGCCAGTTCACCTAAAAGAACCAAATAACGAAACCATCCAAATTTAAATTGCCTCAATAAAATTCTAAACGGCCGCTGCTAAATACGTCATTGTGGAGGGCGCATTCAGGCACCATTACCTTCATTCAACCTCCCGGAGGCTCGCTCCATGCCCCGCGGGAACTCCCCAGCAAAACGCATCCCGCTCTTCCACGGTGAGCTTACGTCTTACGGTTTTTAAAAAGCGCACCGCGGCCGCCACATCCTAAAATAAAGGTTCCTCACTTGTTCCCCGCCAGTCCCGCGGCCGCTCCCGCCCGTGACCTTGGCGAGCGTGTCTCCAGGCCCAGGCCGACAGAGGCAGTGGTGTCTCCGGCAGAAGCGAATCGCGACCTTCACCAGGATGCCGCGGCTCCTGAACGCAGCGGCTCCGGGGCGCAGAGCTTTCCCAGAACGTCAGGAAGGGCGGGGGTCGCGGGGCCAGACACGCTCTCTGCCAGAGGCCATCCAACCCTCGCTCCGGCTCCAGCTCCCGGCCTCCCTCAGACTCCCACCCTACCGCACCTCAGACTCACCGCCCGGGACAGCGCCGCGCGCCGCGCTCG